TATCATCAATTTTGGTACAGGGTTTAGTCCACAAAACTCTGAGGCTTGTGGAGTCAATGTCCGTTCTGCACTTTGCTAAGTTGGAACCTAAGTCTTTGTCACCGCTAAGCACACAATAGAATGACCAGCCAATCAAAACCACATCCCTCTCTCCCAGGTCCAGGATGCCCACCTCTGAGAAGGCTCACGGCGCCGTCCCAAAGCCAAAGGGGCAGCCTGGCGCTAATGGTAAAGCTAAGGCAAGGCCAAAGGTTGTGCCAAAGCGCCGGGCTCGAGCGGCAGCTGCCAGCTGAATGATTGATGTGTCCCAGGGATTCTTGAATGTGCTAGAGACTCTACCTCCTCAATAGCAAAGCCTTCAGAAAGAACATAACAGCGTCATCAAGTTTGAAAAGCTCATTGCCCATTGGCCATTCCTGTGGTTCCGGGCACAACAATTAGAGAAGTGAGATGGGGAATTCTCGCTGAGTTTTACCAAAGCTGATCGAAAGATTGCAACATGTTGGTTTTCCAACGATGTCATCAAGGCATTCCGCACAAGTCAGAGGAAAAAAATGGAGAGTTGCAATCAGTAGTGCTTTATGTTTCGATACAATCTTGTGTGAACTGCTTGATTTTTTGGAAATATCGATGCTTGAGCAAGTACTGCACATTGCCACCTAGTTTGGGTCACGCCAGGTTCTGAACACCAAGTCCCAGATAGTTTCATTGCGAATATCGCTGACTCTATGGGAAATGGCGTCCGGGCCCAAATCGATTGTCCTTTCCAATGACCCATCCGCCCATGCGGCTGCCTGTCCCAGGCCACAGCTCAGAGCGCTGACAACTTGTTGCGGTCCCTGCAGGGCAAAGACGGGGATTCTTCAAATGCATCCCGAGATATGCACAAGAAGATGAAGGATTTGGGATACTCACTTCCGGTTCCAGTTCAAAAAACTGACCATATTCTTGATAGCCCAGATGTTCACCAACTGACCAGCTACCATATCAGACCAGAAGATTGGGTGAAACACTGGATGAATCATGAGCCGGAACTCCTAGGGGGGTTCAATGCAGATCCATTTACTAATTTCGAAGCTTATTGGCGAGCCTACCAAGTGCAGCATCCTAGCCATGAAGTCTTTTCCAAGCACCAAATTCATCTCAACAAGGTGGTACCCCTATTTGTCCATGGGGATGAAGGCAAGGCTGTCAAACGTACAAACTACCTGGTTGTCTCTGTCGAGTCGCCCCTGGGATCTTTGGATGACCCAAATATCAAATGCACTTGTTGCGAAGATTTGAGAAAGAGAGCTGGTTTGCCATCCTATGGATCCGATTTGGAACCCGTTAGCCAAGAATTTCTGAATACGTGCCGCCAACAGACTACAAATTTCAAGGGGCATTCCTACTTGTCCCGGTGTCTTTGCTTTGGCGTGGGGGGGTGGATTTACAAACGACACCCACATGTCGTTGACACATTGCTGGCTGAACTGGTCAAAAGCTTGCAGAAACTTTTCTTTGAGGGTGTGCACACCGACAAAGGGCTCATCTTTGCTGCAGTAGTGGGTATCAAGGGAGATCTTGACTTCCACAAGAAGGTTATGGGGTTGACCCGTTCCTACGCCAATATTGGAACAAAAAATGATTTGGAAATATGTCATTTGTGTCTGGCAGGACGACGTGGTATTTCTGCTGAAGATTATTGTGAAACACCCCAGTGGCTTCAAACCCTGTGCTGTGAGAGACCCTGGTCTAGACAAAACCCACCCACTATGTCGAACATTCCGTATGACCCGAGCTGCCCAGAAGAGATTCTGAAGTTGGACATGTTCCACATCAACAGGCTTGGTGTCGGCCGAGATGTGATTGGAGGAGTATTGATACTGTTGCTACGTCTCAAATTTTTTGATTTCCCTGGGAGTACAATCAACCTACCTGATCGCTTCTCACGTGCACATGGGCACTTTGCTTTATGGTGCTTGGCAAATCAAAAAAAGCCTGGCTTGCACAGTTTTAGCAAATCCTTTTTCAACATGGTGACCCTGATCTCAGCACCCTGGGCTTCAAGCAAGGGCTCAGATACAGTTTTACTGCTGGAGTGGCTGCAAACTGTGCTGAAGATTGAGCTTAGCAATCCCACGGTTCAGGGGCATGAGGAGCTTTTAGGGTTCATGCTTCAGGTTGTTGAAAGCTGTTTGGAGCTTCGAGTGTTGCACCATCACAGGCTATGGTTGGAACGGCACTGTGCCAAAAAAGTCTATGTATCCATTATGACGTTGCTGCGCGGGTATTCAGTACTTGCAAGATCTGCGCTGCAGTTGAAGATTCGTGCATTTATACAAAAGCCGAAGCAACATTCACTTCATCATATTGCCATTTTTTTGAAGGCTGAACTTTTGAAGGGGGCCACTTTGATCCAAAGCCCTCAGAGCACCTCCTGTGACATGAATGAGGACTTTGTTGGCCGAATCAGCCGCCTAAGCCGCCGCGTCGGCTTCCAACTGTGTGACCTTCGTGTGATCGAACGATATTTTATGAAAATCAAAGTCTTGCTTTTAAAACGCAAATGTCCAACAACTCTCAAAGTTCGCAAGGTATGGGCCAAGAGATGGGGATCTAGCCATAAAACATAATAAGCTACTTCCAACAAGTCACACTATTCAAAGAAACCTCCAAGAACTAGGCTGTCAAAGAAAATCATGTTTTTGCGGGCTTTCCCCAGATCTCAGTTTCTGGCACTGTTTCGCTGGCTGCACGTGGATCAGGAACGACATCAAGGTGGAGAAAAGGGATGAGTTGGATTGGGTAGTCAACGCATTGATGGGGGTTTACATTTGATTGTTTGATGTAAAGCAAAACCGAAAATATGAATCGATTTGGTGCTATCTTAACCACACATCATTGGCTCTGTTGGTTTGGGATCCCTTGGGTTAACCTGTTCATTCAATTGATAGTAGAACCATGTATAATATCTATTATGACCACGTTGTTTTCGATATGTTGGCATTATGTTGGCATTATATCACATCATAACATAGCATATCAAGCAACCTGGGCCAAAACCCTTCGGGCAGAAAAAAATGCCTCGGGCTGAATATCCTGCAAAGGCTGAAAATTCTGCCCGGGCAGAAAAAATGGAAGCAGGAAGTTCCAGGTATAAATACATCAACCGCACTGCGAAACCAGCATCAGATCATTTTCATTGTCAAAAACCATGCGGTCCGATCATCACTTGTTTCACGAACATTCAGCGTACATATGGGAATAAGAATGTTCACTCTGTGCACAAAACAATCATCATGGACATGTCCACAAAAGAATTGATAACAAAACATTGAGTGCCAAACAGCAAGGAAGCAACACACCTGGAGCACATGAAAGTTCGGCATCACTAAACGTTAACCTTTTGACAACAGGACACAGCAAGTCGATCATACAACACAGCAAGGCGATAAACTTCACAGAAAAGTGTATTTCTCTTTTTCATCAAGGTAAATGTTCCGTGTAGAGATCCAGACTCCAACGACATGGCGGCACACTTGAAAAGAGAAAGGCTATGTCTCAAATTTCCAATGACTACATGTTGGAGAACATCATCGGGCAGTTTCAAATCTTGAGATCTCACGGACGGTCCCTTCAAAAATTTCGAAAAATGCCACAACTGTTGGGGGTGTCTTGTCAAGCATGCCTACACTGTTTGCTCATGCCGCATGGTATTTTGTTTCCCCATGCGTCACCCTTGTCTTGTCCATTTCCTGCCATCTGAGCCCCGGAATGTTTGATTCACATCTATGGAGCAAAGAGGTCAACAAGGTCTGCACGTGAAACAATGAATTCCCATGGAGCAACACAAAGCATGCTCGCTGAAGCTCGAGACTGGGATCGCGACTCCGAAGCTTGCGATAAGAAAGCACCATCCTCTGGCGAATGACCTACAAGCTCAAGACTCAACTGCTGCTTCACGAACAACGTCTATCAAAGAATGGCGAACATCCAAACAATACACATGCTATATATAAATACATCAACTGCACTGCGAAACCAGCATCAGGTCAGTTTCATTGTCAACACGACACAGCAAGTCGATCATCAGTCAACTTCACAGCGAAGTGCATTTCTCTTTTTCATCAAGGTAAATGCTGCGTGCAGAGATCCAGAGATGACAGTCAACGAACGTGCCGGCTCCAGTGTTGGTCTAATGTCAGTTTTTACGGGATGCCTTTGAAGTCAGGTAGATGTTTTACATGTTCTAACTCTAACTTCATGACGCAACGCCTGCTCCCCGCTCGGACAGTCCCTACTGCGAGAAACATACGTCAGGTCATGTTTTACATCTTCTAACTCTAATTTCATGATACAATGCCTGCTCCCCGCTCGGACAGTCCCTACCGCGAGAAACATACGTTGGGTCATGTTTTACATCTTCTAACTCTAATTTCATGACACAACGCCTGCTCCCCGCTCGGACGGTCCCTACCGCGAGAAACATACGTCAGGTCGCAGTGTAGTATACCGTCGAAATAAGATGACCATGTCGAACAAAGACATCCGGTAAATCTAAACAACGCTACATGGCAGCTGACGAAGCTCCCCGCCAGCAATGCTAAGCAAAAAGATCAGCAGACATTTCATCTGCAGACAAATGCTGTGACACCCAAGGGATGCACTGCCATGAAAGTCTATGCACATACTTCAAGGCCTTCCGCTCGTCCACGCAGGCCTGACCTTCAAACTCCCGCATCTGCTGCACCAAAAGAGGATTGTGTTCGTGCAGAAACTTTTCGAACACATTGCGAGGCGGCAAATCCACTATCCACAGATCTTCCAGCTTGGTTGGCCTTGACAACATCACGTACATAGCCAAGCCATAGTCCGCCTGACTCATCCAGGACGGTTTGGACATGAAAGCAAGCAGCCCTTGTCTGGCAGTGATGCCCTGCAAACCGTAGTGCGTGAGAACGTGACGAGGTGCCAGTGGCAACTGTTTGCGATGAACCTGCATAAATTGATTGCCCCCAAGAGGAAGATCCCAGGCCTGATCACATGTAACGGGACGCAGCCAAACGTGTCCCTTCGGAGCACTGCCATCTGGCAATGCAATGGCACGATATTCCGGGTCATCGATCTCCACCAAGACGGCCAACGGCTGATATTGCAAAACGACACGTCCACTGCTGTTTGAAATTACAGGTTCCTTCGGGTGCAACTTAATGGAGCGAACAATGACCGGCAACTCTCGACTCAGCATCGGCATGTCCAAAATGCAACTTACACGTGCTGCCATCCCTTCATACAAAGGGCAAATGCCCATGAGATACTGCGTTCTTGTCATGTTCACAACCTGCAATGCCTTCAGGCTCTGCTCCCTTGTCAAATCTGTGGGCCCCGATGCACGATCAATAGCTTGCACCAAGAAAAGAGTCGTGGACCTCTGTTGATCTTCCCAAGCCACCCGCAAATGCTGTAAACGAGCAACCTGTTCCCACGCCAGGCCGCCCCAGTGAGCACTAAACAACCTTGAGCGCAAGGAATTGTCAGAAAAAAGTTGCTCTCGGCTGATCACTCGAGATTCCAAAGCTCCCCACAATGCATCCTCCAGATGTTCGCCTCGCCGCATGGACAAAAGAATCCTCACAAGCTGCTGTCCGGATGCACACTTCGAAAAACGACCGGATCCAGTGAAGTGCACAACTCGCTGAAGCGATTGCTTGAACGCGATCCGTCCAAGTTCTGAGGCATTGCTGGTGCGTTCAGCCGCCTCCTTCTCCACGGCCTCTTCGGCATCGCTGTGGTCTTCTTGGTCTTGAGGCGGTGCAGGATCAGTAGCTCGTGGCGCATCCACCCATTCGCACAAGGATGCTTGCGCAGTGGGTCGCAATTGTAGAAAGTCAGCAACTTGCACACCAATGGGCACCTTCCCAAACCACTGCTTCAAGTAATCGCCCATGTCAAGCATAAGTCGAGCTTGTCGAACAGTGGCAAATGGAAGCGAAGCAGCATGGTACACATCCGAAGGAACCATCGACAACTCGTCCAACAGCATGGCCATGATGCCTTCGATCTTCTTTTCGATCGGGCTGCCCTTGCTCTTCGCCGAACGCAAGGAGCGGCGATCCAAGCTGCTGCTCTTGTGCACATTGGCCCACTTGTGCAAAGTTTTGGCCTCAGGCCCCAGGAGGCGAACAGCAGCGTGAGTCGGAGCACCAGCAGCATAACCATCCTGTCCAAAGAAGCGTCGAAAGAGTGGCCTCAATACTTTGCTGTATGCATACGTCTTTCCAGATCCACCAGCTCCGAGCCAAAGACAATTGCACCTTTCATTGCACGCACCATCCGCAATGCAATTGTCCGGATTGCTTCGGTCAAGCCACATCTGTTCCATGACCCAAGCAATGGGCGCAATGGCCAAAATCTGTTGGCGATTCAGACTGTGCTCCACAAGCAAGGCAGAAGCATAATCACTCGGACCCACATTCCTCTGGTTCAGCTCCACCAAAAAGGCATCTTCCGTCTCTGGCAAAGGCCGAAAAACATGATCTGCCATCATCTCAGTATCCTCTTCACCACCTGCTGCATGAAGACCCACCAACGAGAACACAACAAGCAAACAAAATTCCCCCCCCCGAAAAAAAAAACAACAGAACTGACATATTCAGCAAATCAGCTATATGTTACAACGACAAAAAAGAAAAACAAAACAAAACTCATCCACAACCACAAAGCTCCGCCTCCAACGCAAAATTCCAAATATTGCTTCTGCAGCATCAAAGACCTCTGGGCTTCGGCGAACGTCCAATTACGCTCCAATCCACTGGCTGCGTTGCCTTTGATTCCCAAATCAATCCTCGCATCCGGAACACCTCCCAAACCATTCACAAAGTCACGCAAACGCTGCAACGCATCCTGCAGCACCGCAGCTACATGATTGTTTGTCGGTAACATATGTTCTCGTCAACAAGGCCATATCACAAAAGCTCGGTACCACATACTGGTGACCATGGAACGTATCATATCCTTTTAGTAGACATTTTCCACACGGATGACTACTTACAGCTTGCTAGCATGATGCAGCAAACAACGCATGTTGCAACACAAGGCATATCATGCTTTATTCGGCACATCTCACACCCGCTGAAAGATGAATCATCAACAACGTTACACAACAACAGCTTAGTACCATGATGCTGCGAAAAACATATATCATCTCCTTTTATCAGGGAAATTCCCACGAACATCGCCCAAAAAGCTCGATACCATGTCCTGCAATACAGATGGCTTTCGATTGCCCAACACCTTCATCCAATCCTCTTCCCGAAACATAGCTTCGCGCAATGCTTCTCCATCCACCGGCCACTGCGCACGTTCCAAGTTGTCCAACTCTTCTTGCAATAGCAGATCATCCTCGACCTCGTGTCCTTCTATAACCGGCGGTGCCGAATCATCTTCCAGGTCCTCCTCCTTGTCCAAAGCAGTCATCAAAGCATAACGCTCAGCTGTCCGACGACTGCTGCTGAGACGACGTGCAGCACAGTGCTGCTGGAAACGCTCCAACCACGATGTCTGAATATAGGCCAAGAACTCTTGCGATGTCAACTGAGTGTAATGAAACGGAACGGACAAGTCTGCGAACCAGGCAACGCGCTCACAGATGCGCAGCATGTCATGATAGCGACAATCCGCTCCTTCTGCTCCACCGAACAGCTTCTCCAAACATCTAAAAGCACTGCTGGTGTCACCAATGCCAGCAACATAGGAACGCACTGATGCAACATCCCGGATGACCGGAGCAGACAAACCGGCCAAAACTCTTTCCTCCGCCAAACACCTCCTCATTGACATGTAACTTTTCCAGTGCTTCCAATGCAGCGTAAAACGAGCAAAAAGAACGCCTTGCTTTGCATCTTCTTCCATGGTGTGGCAAGCAAAGCATCGATGTGACAAACTGCAATCTCCAGAACACGTTGGGAATGGAAAAGATAATCCCAACATGTGAGCTGCGTACTTCTGCACCTCAGCATCCTTCGGAAGGTGCAAATCTGAAGGCACCACAACACTGTCATCTGCTGCTCTCACTTCCTGCGAATTTCAGCTCAACACAGAAATAAACAACTTCACCCGAACTTGTTAACACTTTCCAAATATCAAACTTAAAGACACCAAACAAAGTAAGAACGAAAAAAAAAAAACAGAACCACCCACCGCAAGCAATCCTGAACGGAGGAACTGAAGTGGGCATAGTGCTCATCAAAGTCGAAAAACTTCACTCCATCCACCTTGCCGGCTTTGTTCCTCGAAACTCTGCGAACGAAGCGAGAATACATCAAAAGAGACATGCATTGCAACAAAACCGAAGAGCCCCTGTGCAAGTAATCGTCTTTCTGGTTGAAGTTCACATGCACCTGCTGGACTCTAGGCACATCACCTCCCTCATCAACAACCTCCGCAAACTCATCCACCACCACTGGTGCCTCTCCTTCGGGGTCAGGAAGCACATCCAAGGGCGAGCCATTGAGATGCGGCCTAGCTTGCAAAACCTCCTCCATGTCCTCATGTCTGCAACGCATGATTGCATACGGCACATAGCGGAAGAACATGTTGTAGCCACGATACGTCACCAGTTGCTCCTGCTCGAATAACATCTGATACGCCATTTCACCGTTGGATTTGGCCACACAACGATTCATTCCAAAGGCAAGTCTTCTCAAAATCGTCAATGCACGCCTCTGTTGCCCTGTCATAGTAGGGTCCCTGTCCCCCTCCAGGGGCTCCTGCTCGGAGGCCGCTGCAGCTTCCTTTGCCCTTTCCCTTTCCTCCTCTTCCAATCGCTGCACTCCTTCAATGTTGCCGTTTACTGAGAACCAAATTAAGGCACACACCAAAAAATAATCTATACCATCTCATTTCATTGTAGGAATTCCCATACAAATCCTCAAAAAAGGAGTCGGTATCGTGATGTTCCAAATCAGATATGTTACATTACTTTACTAAGGACATTTGCACAAAATACTGCAAAACAAAGTCGGTAAGAAAAAATATCGTCAAAAATTTCCGTTTCGACCGCCCCGAAGCAAACAGTCCTGCATACAATTCAGGTAACATACTCCGCGAAATTTCAAACTTCTTTGCAGCATACTCACCAGTGTAAAAACCAACATTCATCATATCTCTTGCAAGGTCCACCAGAATGCGCTCAAGCGCCTTTCTCATCGTCTGCATCTTCTTATGCTCCGTGTCCAAAACACGACCCATGCATTGCTTCTTCGGCGGCGGATCCGAAGCATCCAACTCAGTCGACACAGGTTGCTCTGCATGTGAGGCATCAGCACCCGATATAGCATCCGAAGACGAACCAAGCGCCGGGCGTTGAAGTTCCATCTCCTGCAATCCACTCCCGGACAGTTCCAACAGAGAAGATGCAGAAGCAGGAGGAACTTCGACTCCAGGCTCCTGGTCTATGCTCCCATCACAAAACTTCAAAAGGTCTGCTTCTGAAAAATTGCGTCCAATGTACTTGACATCCACATTGCATCGCATCACTGCTTGCGCCACCGGGTTCGACATCCCTTCAAAAGGGTGATCACGCCGAGCTTGAAACACATGCGGGTTTTCGTTTTTGAACTCTTCAACCTCCTTCAAATCTACTGTCTCATATTGCAACCGAGAAAAACCTGCTTTCGCAACTCGAGGCCAACCTTTCCGACATAACACTTTCGGCTTGTCCTCCTTGCCCAGAATCATTTCAACGTGAAAGCAACCAAAGCGACACCCACGTTTGCCTTTCACGGCTTTCCTCAGCCAAAGCAACATGTCGTGTTTACATATACATACTTCTTCACGTTGACAGCCAACTATGCACGTTGTACACTCCAGACGTCTCTTTTCCATTCTACACAAAAATGTTTTACGCAAACTGATACCGTAACAGCAACCGTGCAACATGTAAACGAACAACAAAAGCCATGACCAAGCCGAAACCGCACGTAACTCAAAAATAACGACAACAAACAACCACACCCACAACCACAACCACAACCAAAACAACAACCACGACAACAACAACAACAACAACAACAACATCAACAACAACAACCACCACAACTTTGCCAAGCTCATTGCGAGGAACTTTTTGAAACATGATTTCGTGCATTTGTGAAAATGATTCTGGATCACCAAACGTCTGTAATCCTCACAGAATTTTTTCTTCCACTCGAGACCATCTCCCGCAGAACGTTCACTGCGTCGCAGATACTTGGGTCGCAAAGAAGCATAGCATCCGGTCAATGTCAAAACCTTGCCAGCCACGGATCCGCCCAACTTCAAGGCTTCCAATTCGTGTCCATCCGGCTCCGTAGGCACCAAAGGCGCGGATTCATACTGGTGACCACATTCTGATCGCTGACGTTCATTCAGAGGCAGTGGCTCTGTCGGACTGCTCAACTGCTCCGACAAGGCCAATTGAGAATCATACTGAAAACGCTGCACAGCCTCCAAAACACGACGACTCCACCGCTGCAACTCAACGACCAACTCACCATGCTGCACTCGATGAATCAGTTTCCGCAAGCGATCTCCCAGGTCGTGTCCCAGCAAGATAATAAGCATGTGGGGGTGCAAAGAACCACGACCCTGAGTCTCCAACGGGCCGTTCAACGCCACAATATCACCGAAAACACCTCCTTGCAGGGAACTCGCAATGCCATCTTCGAAGGTTGCTGCCACGCCAACACGAAAACTTCCCTTGGTCAAAGGTGGAAGAATGCCCAACACCTCCTCACAGAACAAATCCATCATCAAGGCAAAGCAACGCGCTTGAGCGACGGGATCGCTCGCGACAATCCGTCGCATAGCAGCTGCGCTGGGCAATTCGGGCATCTCCGCCTCCCAGTCCAAATCAATTTTGCACTCTTCCACTTTGACATTCTGCAGGTGCAATTGAAGTAGCAAGGACGAGCGCATATCTGCGATGTTGGGCGTGACGAACAGATGCGCAGAACCATAATGCCACCCAGCCGCATGTCCACGCAACCGGATCTGGCTGCGGTGCCCTTCCATGCCAATGATGCTCGAAGTTGCCTGAAGCACTCCTCCCAATGCTCGCTTCAAGGCCACATCCACCTGCGGATCTCGCAGCAACTCCCTGAGGTCCGCATTGTCTCCATGCAATGCCATTGCCTTGAGCAATTGGTCCGTGTTGACTTCAGAAATAACACGACAATGTTTGCCAAAGCCACGACGCATCACATGCGCTTTCGTCGCACGCATCAACTGTAATCGACGCTGCACGTCGTACATCACTGGAAGCAACGTCTCCTGCCCGCATACTTGGAACAAAGGCGACCAAACTCAAAAACTGAAACCACCAAAACACAACCACCAAACCATCCTGGGGAAACAGAAAACTCAGCAACAATTGAATAAACCAAATCCAAAGCACTGAAAGCGACCATCTTGGCAACAAGGCATCACCCTCACTGTAATGCAGTTCTTCCCGAAGCAACAAATATCGAAACACTTCTGTTGCATCCATGTTGGCTTCACGCTTCAAAAAAGGCAAGCCATCACCCCATGGAAACAAATCCGGAAACGACATGCCCCAGGTGGCCGGATCAAACATCGACAGCGGTTCGTCTCTGGTCGGAACAACCAACTTGGAAGGTTTGACTTGGAACATAGCTGATTCCACATTGCGCTCATTTTCAGCCGTGCCACGGGCAATCTTCTGAATTCTCCGAATTTTTTGAAGTGTTCGCCTCTCTTGGGCTCCTTCACGACCCAAAAGTTCACCAGGAACAGATGCATCCGGGGCCGGCATTTCATTGTTGATGCGGTTGCGAAGCACATCGGCAGCATCGCTCCTTCGCCGCCCACCCTGTCTCACACAGACCTCCTCCACATCCTTCAACACACGCACCCACTTGTTCTGTTCATCCGCACCATCGTTCAAGCCAACAATGGAAGACATCAAATGACCTGCAATGTTTGCGTGAGTGAGTTTTCCATATTTACTTTCACACACACAAAACAAAATGGTTCCGAAACGCAGACGTTACAAAGCAAAACTCGATATTAACATCGTTTTCGATCGCTTCATTCGGACAGTCCCTATCATGAAGCAATGAATACAACCAAATTCACTTCGGAACCCTGCCTGGTGCATCTAGGCCTTCACGCTGCTTCATTCGGACAGTCCCTACCATGAAGCAATCACCTGCACCTGCAATGTGTGCGCGAGTTTTCCATATTTACTTTCTGCCACACAAAACAAAATGGTTCCGAAAGGCAGACGTTACAAAGCAAAACTCGATATTAACATCGTTTTCGATCGCTTCATTCGGACAGTCCCTACCATGAAGCAATCAATAAAACCAAATTCAATTCAGAACCCTGCCTGGTGCATCTAGGCCTTCACGCTTTTCTTCACTCGCATCGTCCATCTTCTCATCATCCGACGCGTCTTGTCCCTGTGCGTCTGCAGGACCTCGCTGCAGCAACTCCTGCGCCAATGCAGAATCCTCCGCAGTTTCCAGGACACAGCCCTCCAAAAGATCATCACTGCCATCTCCCAGTTCCACCTCCGCATAGAAAGGATTCGTTTTCCTCAAACATTCAACAGCGGCAGTGTACTCATCTCTCGGGGCACGCAACAAAGAAGAGCCCTTGACTGCATCCTTCTGGCTTCCAACCAAAACAAACAAAACTGCATCTTGCATATCAACATCTTTTGGAGGGAGCGTAGTCAGCACTGAAGACGGCTTCGCTTGCGGGAGAAAAATCGAATTCCCTACAAAGCCATGCTGACGTTCCTCACGCGACAAATGCCCGGGCTGCAATACCACAACCTGCATGCACGCCCGTGTCATCGGCAAAAGTCGCTTCGTGGCCGAGGCCAGGCCACGCAATGCGGACAGTTGCTCGCCCATCCAAAGGTCATTGGCCAAGCTGTGCCGAGGCAACGTCAGACTAGATGACATCAACGAGCCCTTGCAGTCACTGCACACCAGGCAAGGATCCTGCAATTGCAGTGACATCCGAACATACTACTAGAACTTCACCCAAACAAAGTCGAGTAATCAGATGCCGTGAACAGAAAATTAGCTACAAACAAGTTGGTATACCGTGATCCCTCAATGAAAGCAACAAACCCGTGCAGTCTCCCAAACAAAGTCGAGTAATCCGATGCCGTGAACAGAAAATTAGCTACAAACAAGTTGGTATACCGTGATCCCGCAATGAAAGCAACAAACCCGTGCAGTCAGTGGTAAGGGTCCTTCAAGTCCACCGGCATCCGACGCTTGTGTAAGAGCAAATGCTCCCCCTTGCAGTATGGATGTTCAACAGCCGAAGCATGCAGAGCCTCCAAAGGGATATTCGGCCATCTTCGACTGTATCTTTCAACTCCAAGAATTCGACACAAGCGTTCCTGTTGACCACACGGAATCACATCCACCGCACCGTTCTCCAACTCGGTGCTGCCAGCCGGATCTTGGAATAAGATTAACATCTTCAGCTGCTCCCGCCAAAACCTGCGAGCACACACCACGCATGCAGTTTCAAAGCGACCTCCTTGCTCGGGCTGTCGAAGCCTTTCATCAGCATTCTCCATGAGGCGACGTTGCGAAGCAAAGCTGGTGACCTGATGCATCACGTCATCAAAACATCATCAGCAAATTTCACTACCATGATATCTCGCATCAAACATGTTACACTACCCTACTCCGATCGTGCTAACAGAAATACAAAACGCAAAAAACTCAGTACCACGACGCCGTGAATTAAAACTATTCACCCCGTTTATGATACAAATTCCACACAAATAGCTACAAAAAGCTCAGTACCCCGATCCCACAAAAGGTCAGCGCAGACAAGAAACTGTGGGGCCCAGGTGTGTCAATAGTCCAATGACCTTCTTACGATACTCGATGAGCACACGGCTGGCATCGGCACCTCCACTGTGTTTCTCCACTAAATGTTCCAAAAACTCTTTCTGTCCGCCAGTTCCAAAATTGCACAGTCTGCACTGGTAACGCTCCAGCGGATTCTGAACATCATCATCATCATAAGACCATAACACAAGGCCAGACAGCGCTTCACCAATAGCAGTGATAGCTGGACTGCAGTCCAACATCTGCGCAACTTCACGCAGCTTGATCTCAAACTTCATATTCACATTTTCCAACAGCAAATGCTTTCTTGGCAACTTGCAAATTCTCTGGCAAGGCCTCCATAGCAATGCCCGCAGCAACATCCATCTCCACATCTGCCTCCTCAGCAACTTCCACACAGGAAGAGCCAGTGCTGTCAGGAACAACTGCATTACCATCCCCTTCCACATCCACCTCCGGAACACATTCCACAACAGAAGTGCCAGCGCCGAAAAGGATGGCACTCAATGGCACAAAAGCGGCCCTGCAAAGAGTTCCTTCAGTCCACCCAGGAATCGACTGCATCAAGTTCCGTTCCGTGTCGGATCTCCATTTGATACCATTCTCTGCATCATCCGAAGCTTCCAAACAATCCAACTTCAACTCCTTGATGTTGTCCACATCGCCAGGGAATGCAGCTTTCATGGAACGACAGCGCACCTTCTTCTCCTTCTCCAAATACTCCGACACCCGCTTGAACAGCACACCGTCTTCATCTGAAGTCGGCAACCGCAAGCACTGCTGCACTTTCTGCCATTGTCGTATATCCAGTTCCAATTGAACGACAACCGGAGACACGCCGCTCCTGTACACACGATGTCATAATCAGTATGCAATTCCTCGAGATCTCACGGACAGCCCCTACAGAAACCTCGAGAAGATATCTCTGATGATCTCGAGATATATTGGCTACCATGATCACGCGCATGATGTATAAATAACATACGTTATCTCATTCATCGCGCAAACAAAAAAAAGCTCGGTACCATTATGCTTTACATGAGCAATTCTGGAGATCTCACGGACAGCCCCTACAGAGACCTCAAGAGATGCAACAAATGTTGAAGATATTTGTTTGTCGCTCCTTGGTATTTCAAAAACATGATGCCATCTATGACATATGTCATGTCATTTTATTAAGAACATTTCCCCATAAATGGGACAAAACAGCTCGGCATCATGATGCCGTCTATAACACATGATAATTCATTTTCTCATGCAAATACCCACAAAGGTGACAAAGGTAAGAAAACTTCACAAAACACACAACTACGACACGCACTCGTCCTGGAATCACGGAGTTCTGCGACCGTCACTGGATCGTGACGTGAGCGCATAGCTTGCAATGCAGGCGTCTGGCGAGGATGAAGTAACTGCGTCAGCAAAAGCCAAGCAAACTGTAAACACTTCTTGTTCCCATAGCGAGCAGATGGAAAACATTCGGACCAATAGCACACCTCCACGTCCTGGCCAAATCTTTCCCAACCATATCTCCGCATCAGGCATCGCAGGTACGTCGCGTCTGCAGCATCCAGCTTACCTCGACGCCGGCGCACCTCGCCCTCATCATCCACCACCAACGCTTTCGTGCCCCACAGGATGCCAAGGACCACCTGCAAGCAACACAAAGACCAAACAACCGCGAACCGGCAAGACACGACAAAAAAAACTAACGCAGGCCATACAATAGTTTCGACAACCACTCACCTCCACCACATTGTCACGATCCTCATAACCACCAGAACTGTCCCATTCACAGGCAGCTGTAAGTGTGTGGACATCCCACAAACGGCTCGCCACTTGCAACATGTCCGCGTCGATGGTGAACCCCACCAAACGACACCATTGAAGTCGTCTTTCTTCCGATACACTCAGCAAAACACAGGACAACAATGCCACGACCTGATGCCGCAGCAAATGCTCCATGCCAATGGAGGCGAAGTAACCTGGTAAATCTAATAAATCAACAGAATCCGTGACAGCTTTGCTGGGCCACGATTGCTGCACTTCATCGAAAGTAGCAAGAAGCGGCAACGTCGCATCCACCACACGAGCATCCAAAGAAGCAAGCGAAAGATGCAATCCCTCCACCTGACCCATGGTCTTGTCGGCCAAAACCGCTAAAATACGCATGCGATCTTTTTGTTCTGGAACAGCATCTCGAAGCAATGTAGTATCAGGCGCCGAAGGACTTTCCAAACATCGTTTCAGCCAGCCCCACAAGACACTTGCACCAGATGCAAGGGTATCATCGTGACACGGCTCCTGCTAAAAAAAATATAAAAAAAAACAGCCGCACTTGACGTTTTTGCAATGCCGACAGTCTACAATTCAATTCTCGAGATGTCACAAACAGCTCCCACAGAAACTTCAAGATGTCGTTTTTTTAATTACACCCAACCTCCATGGAAGTCGCCAAGACTTTCTTCAACGAATTACGCAGCTCTGCTACAGGCAGCCAAGCGTTGCCCGATCGTGTCTCCACACCAGCCGCAGTAGCCAGGACTCGAAGCTCGTCTCTTCCTATTCCGTACAAAGCACGACTGAGCCACTCCTCACCCTCTGAAACAGCTCCAAGGTGAAGTTCTTCCAATTTGGCAGCCGATGCTTCTTCCACCTACAGCATGGAACACACCGCCACCACAAAACAACCATCACCCTACAAATTTTTCCCGCTGCTCATGCATATCAATGAAAACATAACACATAGATCCACTACATCACAAACGAAAATTAGCATGATCACTATGCAATTCTCAAGATCTCACGGACAGCCCCTACAGAGACCTAAAGAGATGCAACAAATGTTGAAGATATTTGTTTGTCGATCCCTGGTATTGCACAAACATGATGCCATGTCTCACAAACATGCGAATTCGGTCACAAAAACAACTCATGTCACAACACATTTTTTGGTTGAACCCAACCTCCGTGGAGGGTTCCAAGACTTTCATCAACGAGTTGCGCAGCTCTGCTACAGGCAGCCAATTCCGGTTGGAATGTGTCTGCACACCACCCGCAGCAGCCAGAACTCGAAGCGGACGAGCTGACATTTCCGACAAAGAACGCCTCAGCCAATCCTTGCCCTGTGAAACAGCCCCAAGGCGAAGTTCTTCCAATTTGGCAGCCGATGCCTCTTCCACCTGCGGCATCCGACACACTGCCACCACAAAACCGCCATCATTCTACAACATCGCACCATGTGACAAAGATTCAAATTCGGTCACAAAAACAACTCATGTCACAACACATGTTTTGGTTGAACCCAACCTCCG